ATGATACCAGGAGTAACAGATGTACTTTGAATTTTATATGATACTGGTTGCGAAACTGGTTGAGATTGTGGTTGAGATTGTGGTTGAAATTGTGGTTGAGGTTGGATGGGTTGAGACTGAGACTGGGACCAGAGTTGTCGAACAGAGGATTGGAACGGTTGAATAGGTTGAGAAGTTGATTGAACAGGTTGAACAGGGTAGGATTGCCATTGAATAGGCTGGGGTGAAGATTGAAATTGTTGAACAGGCAGTTGAATGGGCAGTTAAACGGGCAGTTGAATGGGCTGGGGTAAAGATTGAAATTGTTGAACGGGCGGCAGTTGAACAGGCTGTTGAACAGGCTGTTGAATGGGCTGTTGAACGGGCTGTTGAATAGAATGTTAAACAGGCTGCTGAATGGGCTGCTAAATGGGCTGTTGAATGGGCTGTTGAACGGGCTGGGGTGATGATTAAAATTGTTGACCCGGGTAGGTTGATGATTGAGGTTGTTCAGTTTGAGAAGGAGTTCTTCATTTTTTAGTATTCATTTTTTTTTTTTTTAGAAAGTAATATTTTGGAAAAAAAAAAATTATAAAAAAATTTCTTTTAAAAAATAAATTCCAAAAGTTTCGTCATGAAAAATTACCAAAAAATTTTGTCATGCAAAATTATTCGTCATGCAAAAATTATTCATTATGCAAAATTATTCGTCATGCAAAAGTTTTTGAATAATTTTTTGGCTGATCCAATTAAGTTATGATTTCAGCATAATAGATTCAATAAAAATTGGTACGTATGTACGTATAACTGTTATACGTATGTAAGTACAGTCTAATTTTTATTGGGTATATAGTAAAGTAGTATGGTACGGAAATGTAAATTAGGACGGATGTGTAGAAATTATGATAGTATGTACGGTTGTAAAAGAAAAAAGTCATAAAACACAAAATACTTTTCTATAATCCTAACATGAAAAAAGTACAATACTAGCACTTATCCTAACTCTAACCATCAAAAGAGCTATTTATAAAAAGTGAAACTTGCAAGTCTTTATTAACTGTACGTATGATCAAAATTTGGTATAATTTTCATATGTCCATCCAAATTTGGACTGCTGTACAGTAATACTTTACTAAATACCTGTGTAATAATTATAACAGATAACGTATTTACGTAATAGTTATATGTACTATTATGCCGAAATCATAACCCAATCAGCTGAAAAATCATCTGGCTAATTTTTTACAGATGTCCGAATTATGAAAACAGCTGTAATCGACCAGGTAAAATTTACCACCCAAATTTGTTTCAGATCATACAATATGATTTTAAAAAAGCATTAGTTCATTACATTATTCTAAGTTAGAATAACGATACTCAATAAATCATATCGCGTAATCTGAAAAAATTTGGGTAGTGAATTTTACCCAGTTGAATATTTTAGCTATACATAATAATAGAAAGGAACTACTATACAGAAATCTGAATATTTAATACGCAGTAAACTACATAGTAACGATGTGGTAACGATGTAGTAACTATATAGTTACTATTAAATTATATAGTTACTATGCAGTTACTGTGTATTAAGATATTCAAGTTTCTGTAAAGTAGTAAAAACTAAGAGTTAACGATTAACCATGTAGAATAGCACGATTCGAATGCCATTCAAACTGCTATTCAACAATATCCCATGACTTCACAAACATGAATGTTCGTGAAATCATGTGATAGTGTTGTATAGCAATTTGAATGGCAGTTTGAATGATATTCAAATTATACCATTCAACATGATGAATCTTTTAAATTTTACTAGTGGAAAGGGCTTTGTTTAAAGAAGATGTCAGAAAAGAATGTAAGTTATTACTAACAGGAAGTATAAAGGCTTGCATTTTGGTAAATTACAAAACACGTGAGCAAGTGCGAAGTAAATCAATCTATAATAATAATAATAACGTATAAATCAGCTAAGCCGATTTTTCATCCCGGTCGATCGATTTTTTCTAAAATCAGCTAGTCGATTCAAAAATTCCGTTTAGAATATTGTTAATCGTAATGTTGCAGGTTACAAAGATTGATATTATGTATGGATAGGTTTTTTATTTGCATCAGTTTTTTATTTTTCGTTTTTACTATTTACTAACCAATTTTTTTTATTTCAGGTGTCGTATTGTCATATTCCGGTTCTAGTTATTCGATTACAACTTCAAAGAATCCTAACGAACAGATTAAAA